GGGGGGAATTGCCGACTGGAGAGGCCAGTAAGAGGGCTGGGGGGGACATGTCCCCCCCCCCAGGCCCTGTCCACATGAATAAGTTTGAAAAATGTATCATACAACTATAATATTGTATTCAACAAAATAATACTGGCGCAATAGTTTCTATATTTCCGACTGGGATTTTAATGTATCTATATTGAACTAGATTTTCTATCTTAACGCGATTGTTTCAAGGGACAATTGGATTTTGGCTATCTTTGATTGTCCCGCAAAAAGCAAGACCGCGCTGCCTTAGACTAACGGAAGGACATTTTTAATTGGCAATCGTTTAAGATCAGGAAGAGAAGCGGAAAAACAAAACATGTACAGTACCTAAGCAGGACAATAAGAACATGAAATAAAATTGTATTTCGAGTACTGAAAAATCTGTAATTGTCCCAAACTCGTGGTAACCTTTGTGCTTCACGTTATACCATTTGATATCTTCACACTTGTTAAAGATAATTATTTCTAGGATAATTTATCTAAATAGTTTAACTATGTCAAAAATTGTGGTTTTTGAACGATGGTTTGATTTGCTATACCTGCCAACATAGGCATTCATGGTCATGGACATGACGATGATCAGACGACCACACAATACAGAGATTAAATATCGTAAAAAAAGCTTAAAGGACATTGGCAATAAAAAATTAGTTTAGTTCATTTGAAATAACTCTTAAAACTAAATATTAAACTCTTTTACAGATTGTTTATATCTTGCTTAGTTTTCAAAATATTTCGACTGAAAAAGTGCTGTTCGCCATCTTGGATTATTGAGGATATACATGTTACGTCAAGAGAGGGGTCACGCTAATTTTCTATCTTGAGAGTAAGCGATCAATATGGGTCCAAAACTTCGTTTCTGGTCGCTGTCAGAAATTTAGAAATGATTAAAAACATTTCAAACAATTTTGGATTGTTATTCGGTCATTTTCGAGTAGTTTTATATGGTTAACCCAACTCCTGACGTCATCAAAACCATAGTTAATGAGGTAAAGAATTTTTCCAAGATGGCGGAAAGCTCATTAATTTCGGTCTAAATATTTCGAGAACTAAGCAAGATATGACAAATCGGTAATAGAGTTTAATATATAATTTTAAGAGTTCTTTTGAATGAGACATACTAATTTTTTATTGCCAATGTCCTTTAACCGCATCGACTTTGTTGTAAAACATTTCGACTGAACTGGTTTATAGATGCGCTAAGAATAGCTCTCTCTGGACCAAAAAAGGGGAACTAAAGGAATTAAAACCTCGCGAGAGCGATCTGACAAATATATTGCATTGTAGTTGCAATGCACATCTAGTGGAAACAGGACTGTGTAATCGCATTTTTCCACAGTTTCACACAAATTATGTAAACGTTTATTTCAGACTCATGATGAATAGCCCACGATCAATCTCTACCAACAAAATGCCTTCGTTCGAATCGTGAAATGCTGCGACTGATCTTGCATTTACAGTGGCGTACCGAGGCCATTACGCTCGGGGGTGCATTTCCCTAAATTTACCGACGAAAATTTTCCCCTAAAATTCTGATGAGCGGGAGGAATTGATAACATACGTCGTAAAAATTTCGCGAACAGGGCGTTCATAATTTTACCGTTTTACTCGGTAATATCAATTTACCGACGATTTTTAAAATTTACCGACGATTTTCAAAACACCGGGGGTGTCACGCCCACAACACCCCTCCCCCGCTCGGTACGCCCCTGTGCATTTACCAGGCTGATGAGAACAAATCATAGATATACACTAGATTCAAAAATTGAAGCCGTGATTGCAGACTCGGGATATTCCCATGAAATGCATGAAATGAGAAGATTCGTATGTTTTCTATTTCTTAAACAGGAACTTAAACATTAAGTTAAACTTATTCCAAATACATTTTTAAACTATTCAAATGATGAAAGTTATTGTTGTTTTTTAAGCGTTTATTAGCGAGTGGGAACTGCCAACATGGCCGCCATCTATTCAACCATTTGGTAACCGCTGGAATATTCTTGGCTTCAATTTTACCAAAAGAGATGCGCTATCTAGTGTATATAAGATATCTATGGAACAAATACATCAGTGAAACCTGTTTCATAATACCCTTACTATAAATCTTATTTGCTTTAATACGTACTATATTTTAACAGTAAAGGATACAAGAATCACAAAGAAGATAAATGATTCCAAGTTGCCAATAAATCTATTTTTAACGAAAACCAAAAGTTGGACTTCGCCAATAATGTATTTGGAAAAGCTAACGTCTGCATCATGTTGGGGACCAGGGAACGTTGCCCCGCCCCACCAAGGGCAAGGCAGCCCTGATGATTTGTATATAGTACAGACTGTGTACATGCAGTACTTATATACATAATAAAGAATATAAGACCAGCAAATTTTCTCGATCTCCCTGGAACAAGACTCTTCATTTTACACATTTCCTCTCGATTTAAAATTTCTTCAATTAATAGTAATATTGTTTTTCTGTAAAGCGTTATGGTGCCTTTTTACGTTGCATAGACTATAGTGCCTCCTTGTTGGCGCATTAGCCACTGATTTTAGCTGATATGTATTCCGATTACTTTCTTCGTAAATGTTGAGATTCTTTCTGAGTGTCTTTTTTCCCTCAAGTTCAAGCGATTCAAAGCATGAGTCGTGCTATTGTATCAAGCTATAGTATATTCAAGAACCTATAAACATGCTGCGTATGCATACCCATGCAACACGTAATTGTTGCAATAAAAAGTATCCAAACAAAACTAAAACG